TCCCGTATGTGCGTGTTTGTGTGTCTGAGTCTGAGAAGGAAGATGGCACTGCTGTCTAGTTCCGAAGTAGATGATGGACTGTAGCTCGTATTCCCATTCCCTCTCATTAGCTCGGCCCCTGAGAATATATGAGGTTACTTACCTTCCCTTGCTCTCAGTTCGTGGCCAAACGCCAAGCGTCGGATCAGGGTCATTAGCCTCGCTATTTGGAACAAATGGCCTTCGATAGTATCTCAGCTATAATACAACAGGAGCAGATTAACCCCTTGATCCTTGAAGGATAGCATGTTGAACACATTAGGACGAAAGCAGCGATCAAGGCGGTGATGATGTTTATTTTTACTATCATTATTTGTCTGTTTCTGGCCTCTTTATTCATGTGTTCTTTGGTTGTTTTGAGGGGATTTTTTTTCTTATCTCTCTCTCTCTTTTTTTTTTTTGGTTGTTGTTGTTTTTTGCAGCAGATTTTGACAGTTGGAATCTCATTGCATTTCAGCTAAACATCACAGCTGTTTGCCTGAAAACAAAAACCACAGAGAGAGAAGTGGGCAGACGATCAAAGCCCAAGGAGGATTTGTCTGGCAGATAGAGGCTGGGGCTCTGCCTGCGTGGACTCTCTCAGCACAAGGTTGCCCCCTCATATCGCCAGCTTGAAAATTAGAGCTCACGAAAGGGAGCAATGCAGTCACAACAACCTCCTCCCTATTGCAGTTGCCTTCTTAATACATTGCGCGTGTGCGTGCGTTTTCTTGTCTTTTCTCCTTTATAGCCAGGTGCCTGACACTACACAGTTTTTTAGTGCAGTATCACACCACTCGTAGTACTGTAAATAATTCACCTGACTGATTTTGAAACCCTTCGGATTTGTTATGAAAAGAGCCCTCTACGGGAAATTTGGGATTATTTCCAAATCCGTAGGCACAAAAGGAGATAATCCATGACTCGTTTGTGTTTTGAGCCGCCAAGGGAAAAAAATGCAGCATGCTATATGTTTATTTCTGTCTAAGGTCACCAAAACCATCTTTCCATAAGGTTCCTTATGAGGTTTGTGGCCTATCGGGGGGGGGGGGGGGGGGGGGGGGGGTGTCTTCTGATGTCTGTTTTGAGCAGAAAGACACACCCAGAGGATGGATATAATTAAGACTAGTGCCTTTTTGTGAGTAAGGAGGGTGTTTGGATAACTGCTCTGGGTGGTCTAGCACTACATGTCTCTACCAGTTTTATTACAAACAGACACAATGCGGTAAGAACACACATGCATTCTAAGAAAGCGGACAAAGATTAGCATGTACTGTGCAACGTAAACATACACGTGAAAACAGCAATGTCGCTGGTTTCCTGCTTCCCTGGGACGTTGTTTGAGCATGGCACAGCAAATTTAAAAGAAAAAAAAGATGAATTGATCAAAGCAGCGGGCAGACATATGTGACGTTCAGGGATGTGCACTTAAATTTACACTGTTGCTTTACAAAGATCATCACATAGCTAACTTTAGCTTCGCCCCAACCATCACTTTGGCAGTGAATAGAAGCCAGATGAGCCAGAAGGGGATCATTTATGTACATAAGGTACACACAAAAACCATAAATGCTACTCTGGAGTAGATTGAAATATTTTATTTTCTTAGTGCAATTATGGAGCTTAATGAACCTAAGACAAAACCTAATTAAACTGTGGGATTTTTCAGTAAAGAGCCCTGGTAATTGTTTGCATTTATATAATGCTTTTCTGGTCTTAGTGATCGCTCAAAGCACCACTTTGTACCAATAGCACATTGGGTACGATGACACTTTGATAAACACATACACAGATACACCCACATTTTTGGTATTTCAACTCAAGGGAGCCCAATAAAGGCTAAATTTTAATTTAAGACTTGTGACTGAAATGTACAGTTCGCTGCTTTGTCAACTATCCGATAAATCACTGTGGAGTTTAAAAACTGTCATGCTAGCTAACCGCTTGATGACAAACTATATTAAGGAGGAAAATCAAAATATAAAGAAGTGCTCTCAACCATATAAAAGTTAAACGTCTAATTAACTCTTTTAGAAACAAACTCTAATTTATTCAAGGCTTTCTTGTACTTGGTGGAAAACAAAATGCAATGCCAGTCAATCCCACAACAAGGGCTTTTCTACCAGTCACTTCTGATTAATAGCGTCTTCTTGTTAACACATAAACACCGCGTCTACCATCAGACCCTCAAACGTCTGTTAATTTGCAGCTTTTTCCCCCCTTTGTGTGAATTGGCTCATTTAGTCAGCAGGGAGAATGCTGATCTTGTAGCATTGGGTTTGAAAACACATGGGTGGTCCTGCTTTCTTTCTGGGTTTTTTTTCTCTTCCCCAAATGTACTGAGCATAAATTTGTGACTCCATATAGGGACTTTAATGATGAGAGTACTCTCCAGGGTCTCGTGAGTCTGCTTACTGGAGCAATAAGAGGGAGATGGCAGTAAGAGAGGTGGAAAAAAATACAGTGAAAGAGAAATGGAGAGGTGGGAGCGAAGCAACGCACCCTTAAAAACCGTCCAGACAGAAATAGTAAATTGCATATTCTCAAAGATGCAGGAACTGCAAACGGGTAGGAGGGATTTCTCCTTCATTTGTAGTGAGCAGCTTTCCTCTGCTGCACTGTTTCACTGTATTTAACATCAAAGCAAACTATGAACAATTGAGGCAATTTTTCATTCGGCCAAGGTCAATCATTGTTCTTTCTCTGGGAATGTAGATCTGGCTGCGAAATTCAGAGGAACCACATTTCACTGGCAAGTCTATTTTAGCAAGCCACCTTTTAACTAAACCGCTGAGTGTGTGTGTGTGTGTGTGTGTGTGTGTGTGTGTGTGTGTGTGTGTGTGTGTGTGTGTGTGGTTTAGATTGTACATGTAATTATAAAGAATCTTCAGGTCCATTTATTAAAGCTGCATTGTGATTTTTTTTAAACCATAGTTTTAATTAGAGCTGTGTCTAGACTGCTTTTAATAAAACCTGTGACTTATGTATGTAATATGAAAGGAAAAGCAGATACTGCATACAGTAAAATGCCACACTTGAAATTGACCTTAAATTCTGCTCGCAAATTTATACAACCCTAATCCTGGATCAGATTCAAGAACCAAAACTCCACTTGCCATGTTTACATAAACAAAAAGTGGAACTGGTTGACATATATATAGTAAATGCTTAAACACTGAATATTTAGACACAGAGATATATTTAGACCTCAGCTCTTGTACTTGCTAGATCTAACCACGACCACATGAACTTTCTTGCCAGGAACCAAACGGTTCTTGAACCAAAGAATATAAAGCTAAAAAGGACTCTGAGAGACTGGTTAAATCTATGAACAGCAGGCAGCTTAAAGAAGTCATTAATACAGCTAAAGTAGCTTAAAAAAGGCATTTATGAATATGTCTTCCATGGGAACTTTGATGTGTTTTTTGACCACAAATGAACAGGCAGCTTTGAGAATACACAGAGTGACTCATTATTTGTCTCAATGGGAGTCCAAATGGCACTTGAATCAAAGAAAACATCAGGGGATGCAGAGAGGGAGGAAAAAAACGGAAAAACACAAAACATGACTCACTAATGAAGAAACTGAGTAGATGCAATTTTGAAAAACTACAAATAATGTAATTTATGCTAACTATGTTTAATTTCTTGGTATTGTCAGATGATATTACCCAGTGCCCACATATGCCATTATTAGCGTAGTCATAGTTTCATATTCTTTGGATGACTTCTTCTCGTTAATTCGGCTTTTTGATTTGCCAAAAGTACAGAAAGTAAGTTCTGTAAAATGTAGGACTGGAGTTGAATTATCAGGACCAACATCTAACTACACACACACACACACACTGTACACTTGAAACAATGTTAACACAACAAAACACATTTTTAATTTTTTTTTCTTTTATTCAAAATTCCCTGATATTGTTTAAAGCGAGCAAACCAGAAGAAGAAAAAAGGGAAAAAAAAGTATAAAAACATATTAAGCTTAATATAAAAATATTAAATTATTTATAGGTTTGGCTGAATTTTACAGAGTCAAAGTCCTTTTTTCCCCCACCTTTCCATCTGGTCAACCTAAGATTTTCTACTCAAAAATTCTTTTTGATAATTCATTCTGCCTCCGTGCACATCCCTCTCAGCCCTGGTGTGTAGAAATGTCAGACACCAAGATTTATAAGGCGTTACATTCCCTGCCGTCATAATGCTGAAATTCTTTCATGTTGTGGGCATCACATAATCACTGATATATCATCTTTAGTAAAACACATGTAGAGGCTACCCCGGCACATGATCACAAGCAGGTTTCTTTTTTTTTTCTTTGACAGACTCCAAAGTGACTTCAAAAAGGCTCGTTCCTCATATCCGTGATATCAGGATTCTTGTACTTCAGGCAACAACGTACTGTCTGTCTTTCTTTCTTTCTTTCTTTCTTTCTTTTTAAACACTTACTTTCAACTCATTTATTTTCTTTCTTCAAGATGAATCATGTATTAATCTACACACATGCTGGCTCTGTGTCATTGTTCCTTAAGACCACCCAGAGTGTTTATATGAATCGGCTCATGAGTGGGCTCTTTTTTTTGTACATAAAAAATTGTGTTGGTTCTTTTTTTATTTTTTAGACGGGGTTTGGTGACGTGCTGACGTATTACACCTAATAGTGTTGACACATCTGTCTGCGATGTTGAATCATTTACGACATATTTCACCACCACAAAAATATTTTTGGAAATGGAGGCATATATAAACTAGTCAGTGTGAAAGCGCCGCAGTGGATAATAATGCGGGAAATAAAACCCCGAAACACTGTGTCGATTGCAAGAGTGTGTGTGTACGTGAGTGTCTTCCTTTTTGAATGTACGTGCATCTGTTTCTTTGTGATTCATTCACAGAGATTGTGTGTGTGACATTTTAATGACAAGCTTTACCAAACAACACCTGAATTTATCCTATGCTTTCTTCTCTGTTTGTTTTCTGTCCAGGTCCAGACTTGAAGGAGGCACGCAAGCACAGAGACACACACATAATGGCACCTAGAGGCTGTCTGCGGTCTACCACCACCCTACCACACACACACACACACACACACACACACACACACACACACACACACATGCATGCCAGTTACGCTAAAAATCTGAACACTGAAGGAGGATCATTATGGCCTCCTTCAGGAAGCAAACAATGTTTTCTAGTTTTCTTCTCCAAGGAGAGAAACATTGACAAGTTATATTCGAGAAAGCTACAAAATTCAGTCATTTAAAGAGCTTTGTAGTTTCCAGTACCAGCACTGTTAAAAGCTGTTTTTTGGTTTGATTTAATGCGAGATGTAAAAAAACAAAACAAAAAAGCTTAAATGTCAAATTTAAATTCTCACTTTTTTTATTTCTAATTTTCCAAGTCTTTGCTCATGTCATATCTCATATCATTTGCGATTTGTCCACGTGTGCACGTGTGCTTATGCCTGCTTCGTTTTTCAATTTCTATTTTCATCAGTGAAAACCCATCCACACAAGTCAAATTTAACAGCTGCACCACATATCCCACAAGCCCCCTAACCCACCCTGTGTCCCTCCCAGGGTTCCCAGCATCCTGCTTTGCACACACTACCAAAAACCCAGGCATGCTGAAATTACAGTGTGTGGAGGAGGATTGTGGGAAAGTGTTCCCTCCCTCTAACTCTGTATTTGCCCTTTTCTGTTTTTTCCCCCTTCATTCTGCTACAGTTTCGGACGTGTTCGGCTTAGTTTGATGTTCGGTTAAGTGTCAAACCGAACGTTAAGTTGCAATTTGCATCAGCAATAAGGGTGACTAAAGTTCAGCGTGATATTAACGAGGCACGAATGTGGCGCTAAATAAGATTGACCCTGTTGTATTGATTAGTCTACGGCTAGGGTGATAGTCTGTCCTGTTCTGATACCGTCAGGGAAACGGCGTGTTTGTGCATTTTATGAGCTTGCACGCACACAGCTCATTAGCATATAAAGATTAATTCATTTGGTTTGATGTTCTGTTCAGTATGTCTTCAGAATGTCACACTGAGGTATGTGTGTTTGTATTTATACTACAAACACACTCAAATGTAATAGGATTTGTGTGTTGAATTCAATTTGCGAGGTTAATAGAAGTAACCAAGAACAGTGTTGGACATAGAGTTACACACGATCTGCTGCCAGCTTGCAAATAACTGTGATTTGCCAGATAAGACCAAGTAGTGTCAGCTACAGAGGCTTGAACTTGTATTCAGCAGAAAATCATTGGATTATGCAAAGTGCAGTGCTCCTTGAATCAGTTGTGGCATTGTGCTCGCGGTTTGTAGCTTCAGGTTAACTGAAAGCACCGCCCTCGCACCGACCGTGTTCCTAACCAGCTCTAATGATACACCCCATCAGTTCAGCTTCGCCTGCACCGGGGTTAGCTTGGTTAACAGTCGGCTGAGGTGAAGTGTGAGAGTGTGTGTGTGTGTGTGCCAGCTATTAAAGCACTTCAGAATCAGAGTGGAAAGGACTCGCACTGCTAATGGACGTGTCTATTGATGTTCCCATTTAGCGGCACACTGTAAACGATAGGCCAATGATTGTGTTCAAGACGGAAGGAGGTGGAGGAGGATTGAGAGCTGTTTGGCTGGGCGATGATAATGACAAAGAAGGTTATTATTTGGCGCCCCATGGAGTCTCTCTGGGCTTTGTGTGTGATGGGGAGTAGCGAGAGAGGGTGAAGAGGTGCACTCTTTCTCTCTGTCTCTGTCTCTCTCCCTGCCTACTAGCTATTATTCCTTTCTCGCCCACCCCCCCCCCCCCCCCCCACCCCTGTCCACTCCTCTCATGACATTACTTACTGCAGCCAGTCTACATCCATCTCTTTTTTAGCATCCTCCTCTATTTCTCTTTTCTTTGTTGCTTTTTTCTTTTTTAACTAGATAGCACAGATAGCTGTTGTGACAGTAAATATAAAATAACAGTAAAAGAAGTCAAAGACAGAATAATGCAGCAGTGGCAACAAAATAGTTTCTATTTGTAAATTTTTTAGGATAACAGGTTGCAGTTAAAATATTGATTTTTTTTTTCACACAGCTGTGTGTGTGTGTGTGTGCTGTCAGTTCTAATCACTGTGTGTGTGATGAATATGAAAACAGTCAGGCTGCCTGCAGGTTTGGCAGGAGACCACCTCCAGCTGGACTCAGACCCCTACTCAAGTGTGTCTGTGTGTGTTTTGTGAACGGGGTTGTACAAGTCAGCTTGTATCTGTCAGTGCTGTGACAACCTCAAGAGGACATAACAAACAAACCCCCAAAAAACAGTTATATAAATAAAACACTGCAAAACACACAACAAATCAAAATCCCACTAAGAAAATTCATCAAGTTTAAGCAGCTTTAATAATTGAATTTGATGCTTTTCTTATTTATAATGTAAAACTATGCTATATAAGCTAGAATGTATTGAGACTGGATTTAAAAGGTAAGGTAACGCTGCTTTTGATAATGTCCTGTGTTACATCATCTATCCTTACTTGCTTTTTGGATTTAAGCAACCTAATTCTTTCCATTCTAGCTCGTCAGTCCTTTGTTTTATGAGTATTTGTGTCTCGCGTTCTTTTGCACTGCTGATTCTCAGGCCTTAAATACTTAGTTTGTCCCAAAAATTGGGAAATTGCTGTGTTGCAGCAGTCAAAACATGGGGAAAAAAACCCATCTTATAATAATAATCACAGGGTGAGACTGCTTAGAAAGGTTGGGGGCAAAAACACTAAAAAGATGCTTAATTAACCAGCAATTAGCCTCAAAAGACTCAATAGATTTATTTAGTATTTAAAGTTGGAGCTTAAAGTAGAGCTTAAACATAATAATGCTGATGCTGTGGTACGAGCTGGTAAAGAGTCTCTTATCTGTTTTTTCATCAGTGGAGCTGAAACACATGTTGGGGAAGGTGTCAGCTGCATGCCTGGTTAGTGGACACAAATATCTCATCAGTGTAGTAAAAATCCATCTATCATTCTGCGTGTGCACACGTCTGTAATCGCAGGGTGGCAGATAAAGAGGGAGATGCCATTCCAGCTGTGAGGGGACACACACACACACACTCAATCACACAGAGCCGGAGGCACGTGAGCAGGTGAGCATTAAGTCAGGCAGCTAAACAGATCACGTCGCGGTATGATATCTGCAGACAGGCAGACAGAGGAGGCCGGTCTGTACCTGCAGGCAGAGAGCAACAACTCGCAGCACCCTCGCCAGGAATTTCCTCCCCCTCCCGAGAGAGAGAGAGAGACATGGAAGTGAAGGAGAGAGACGGGCATTAACTGGGGTTTCCAATTTTGTTTTTATGCATATCCAGTTTCTTCAAGCTATTTAACCCTAAACCTGAATCCATTTTTTTTCTTATGATATTTTAATCATTTACTGCATGTGTGGGAGCTCCAGAATTCTGGCACACGTAATTTCACCCATTAAAGCCTTTAGAAATGTTACCATGAACATTTTTGTGTTAGTAGTGTACCGAACAAAAGTGGATAATCTAAAATATATTCCTTTTGTTAACTCACAACCGATAAGAACCACACAATCTGAATTGAAATGTTTTTTCTTAGTTTTCTTAGTTTCACATCTCACCAAGAAAAAAATCTGTGTGTTCCTCTGCCAAAATAGGCATCAGTAGTAACCTTCTACACTAGTGAGACAAAGATCGAACGAGAAGGGTACAAATCTTACGTAGAGAAAATGAATCCTAAACCTTATGGTTGGTGACATTTCAGCCCAACACTTATCTTTAACACCATCTGATGAAACTGTATAGACAGACATTACAAAACTCGATACTGTGCTATTGGGTGCAGTCAGTTCTTTTGTTGTTTTTCGAGTAATTTAATCACCTCTTGCAGATGCCTTTCTGGAATTACAGGTATGTGGGGTTTTTTTTTTCTGTTTTCACAGTACTAACTGTGAAACACTGACAGTATCCATTACACCAACTTGTTCTACAAGTTTCTGTATTGCTGGCACTCCTTTAAAGTAGTTTTGTAACAGTACTTTGTTTTAAGTCTGTTCAACATATGTGGTGGTAATCTGCGGCATCCTGTATCACATTCATACTGTGGTCTCTTACTCTGGACCACCAAATAGCGTCACCGAACCAACTGTGGGATGCGCCGTTGCTCAAGAGAACGTCAGCATTAGTCATTAACTAAAGAACCCCTTGAGTCACTTCTCCAGCTTGTGCACAAATATTATTTTCCCCTTTAATTTCCTCTCCTTATTCTTAACGTTTGCGCGGCCCCTTTTCAAAAGCTCTTTATAGCCTATAGTTAACCTAAAAAGAGAAAAAAAAACCTCCTGAAATTTTCACAAGTCTCAAATCTGCCTCCACCGCATCCACTTATCTAAAAATGTTTCAGTGGTTAAATGTCAGAGCTGTCTGTGCCATTAAGGCCAGCATGTTTGAAGGAAGGACACCCATGCCAGCCCTCTCCCTCCTCCCTTTTCTGTCTCTTCTTATTCCTCTCCCCACTTAGCTTTCTCATAATGCTCCAGCACAACCCCCCCAACCCGTGCTGGTTTGAGGGCTGATGTGCAGACCTTGTCATTCAGATTAGGGCCACATTGTCAGCTCAGGGCCCTTCTCTCTCTATAGTTGCATGTCCCAGATCTTTCTTCCTACTGTCATCTTCATCCTGCGGCCAGAGAAGACCTTATAAAGCTACATTCCTTCTCATCCACTTCTGTCAATTCCAGCGCTGTCACTCAAATCACTGTTGTGGAGAGTGAAAAGAGACCAAGTTAACGTGTCCCTCGCAGCAAGGACTGTGCTTTTTGGTCCAAGATTGGCTGTCATCAGCTAACAAATTAGTTTTATTATTACTATTATTATTATTATCATTATTATTATTGCTCGGGACCTAAAAGCTTCAGAATGCCAAATTAACACATGCAATCTAAAATTCTTCACAAATGAATACTGCTCATTGTTTTCCTGCCTAACAGTAAAGACAGAGCCATCTTGCTATTTTTAACTCTCTGTTTTCTGTGTAAAAGGAGTATGTGGCATGCGATGAGATATCCGCCACATCAGCTTAGTCACTCCTTATCCTGCCCTGGAAAAGCGTCCCAACAACGTTTTTATCATCCGACCACATCTTGACTCACTGCCACAGTTGCCGTCACATCGTATCTAATTGCTCCAGCAGCTCCGTGGCATTTGATTTCTGTGCTTCTCACAAACCCTGCAACTTGTTTTTTGTTTTGCTTTTTTCTCTCTCTCTCTCTCAAGTTGATTCAGCACTGTGTAATAAAGCCATTGATGCAAAATGGTGGATAGTTTCTTTACTGTTTTTAGTGTAAGAAGAGGAGGAAAGAAAAAACACCCCAGTCTTTGGCCACAGCGCCACATCATAGCGAAATAGCAGCCGCTATCGATCAGGGTGAGTCGGCAGTTTCATACCCGGTGTCTTCCTCATCCTGCAGCTTGCATGAAGCTATTCAGGCATGCTGGGGCCTCTCTAGACACCACGCCACTGTGCTTTCAGTAAACTATATGCCAATTGGCTGCAGCCTCCACCCAGGTGATACGTTTACTAAAACCCACTATGAGTCAGGAGTTTCAAGATGACTTCCCTTTTCTAACTGTTATTTACCAAGGAAATGTTTTCTTACACACTGACGAGTTCTTTGGTGTAATAATGACCATGTGGCATGGAAGTCATTGGTAAATGCAGCTCTCCAGGCTTGATGGAAAATGTTCTTCTACTAAGAAATCCAAATAAATGGGTTTAGTGAAAAATTATTCTTGCTTAAAGAAGTTCAGCGTATATTTTAAAGTCTTCTTTTATACCTTTCTAGAGGTAGTGGATGTAAAAAAGGAAAAAAAGCTCCAAAAAGATGTGAAAGATGGCAGCATTGTGATTAACCGAACCTTTAAAAATAATGTTTTCTTATAATTTATCACTATTTATTGTCAGTTTATATTAACTGGAAGTTTGACTTGGATAGTATTAGTCATCTGATTAGCCTAACTGGAAAAGATGGTATAATTCAGGTTTGTTACAGTCATGACCTTGTCAGTGTTACTAAGAAAGGGAGGTTTGGTGAGAGAAGAAGAAAGAAGCTTTTACCTCACAGAGAAGATATGCTCCCGCCAAGCAGACTGTCATCCCCAGTCACCATCAGGTCTCTGCTTGCCCCAGTGAACATTCAACGCTGTCGGTGAGTTTGAGCTAAATTGAAAGAAAAAAAACCATCGACCGTTGACTGTACCCTGTGGCTAGTCTTTGTCACAGAAAAGAAGAAAAGAACACATGCAGAAATCTTTGCACAGACATGGTCTTAGAAGGGGTGGGGCTCACGAGAAACGCATCGTCCATTCTCCAGAAACACAAAATACT